AAAATTGTACCTAAAAAGCCAGGAATTTAGAGTTATTTCAAACTATTTTTACCATAAAGTAAATATTTTTTAAATACTTCCACCGAAAACATGTTAAAAAAGTGTGAACCACTCTGCTGTACACTAGGTATCTAGTCAATATCAAATGTAGTCCAAATTTTAACTCATAACTTAAATTAACATAACTTAAAACTGTGTTTATATATTTTTTGATATTTTGGTTACAATACAAACTACTAATGGGAAACCTTGTTTTAAATGTTTATACATTTTAATAACAAAATAATTTTTAAATTTTAGAGTTTTTGAATAATTTTGTAAACATTTTAACTTTAAATGTTTTTAAAAAAATGTGTATAGGTATATCTTTAATATTTATTTACTACTATTATAACGGTCTTCAAAGTCTAAAAATGCTTGAAAACGACCAAAAATATTATTTAAATGCTATCATTTATAGACAATTATGGAATCAATATTTAGTAAAAATTTTAAGTATTTACGATCATTATTTTTTAAATTACAACAAAATAAGAAAATCGTTTTATGAGAAATTAGGTATGGCAATGCCGTAAAAATGTGATTTTTAAACTCTGATAAAAACTAATTTGACTTTCGGGTAAACTTTTTTTTTGGTTAAAGGTCAAAAAACGTTTGATAAACCTTGTATTAAATTGTCAAGTATTTTGACAGAGTGAAATTTTTTTGTCTATATTAGCTATAAAAATCAAAATTTTTTTATATTTATCGCTCAAAAGGTCTGAATATTATGAAAGCTGTATTATATTTTGGTTTACACCAAAAAACCAAATCGATTTTGTCAAAAAATAATTAAGTGTAACAATTTCAGTTTTTCCAGACACTTGAAAACTACAAATAATTTTCCATTTTAACTCTTTAAAGTAGGTAAAAAATAGATTCACTTTACAATCAGAAAAGATACTGATGAAAAATTGACATTTTTACTGTCCCAAAAAGTGGTGTAATATTACACAAAAAAACACACATCATTAATATAATCAATACATTCATCGCCTCACTCAGAATATAAAAATATGCAATGCAAAAGTGTAAACTATTGTGAAAATGATTTTTCCGGCAAATTTTGTATAGAAATNTTTTAAATGTTTATACATTTTAATAACAAAATAATTTTTAAATTTTAGAGTTTTTGAATAATTTTGTAAACATTTTAACTTTAAATGTTTATAAAAAAATGTGTATAGGTATATCTTTAATATTTATTTACTACTTTTATAACGGTCTTCAAAGTCTAAAAATACTTGAAAACGACCAAAAATATTTTTTAAATGTTATAATTTATAGACAATTATGGAATAAATATTTGGTGAAAATTTCAAGTATTTACGATCATTATTTTTTCCATTACAACAAAATAAAAAAATCGTTTTATGAGAAATTGAGTATGGCAATGCCGTAAAAATGTGATTTTTAAACTCTGATAAAAACTAATTTGACTTTCGTGTAAACTTTTTTTTTGGTTAAAGGTCAAAAAACGTTTGATGAACCTTGTATTAAATTTTCACGTATTTTGACAGAGTGAAATTTTTTGTCTATATTAACTATAAAAATCAAAAATTTTTTATATTTATCGCTCAGTCTGAATACTATGAAAGCTGTATTATATTTTGGTTTACACCAAAAAACCAAATCGATTTTGTCAAAAAATGATTAAGCGTAACAATTTCAGTTTTTCCAGACACTTGAAAACTGCAAATAATTTCCCATTTTAACTCTTTAAAGTAGGTAAAAAATAGATTCACTTTCCGATAAGAAAAGATACTGATGAAAAATTGACATTTTTACTGTCCCAAAAAGTGGTGTAATATTACAAAAAAAAACACATATCATTAATATAATCAATACATTCATCGCCCCACTCAGAATATAAAAATATGCAATGCAAAAGTGTAAACTATTGTGAAAATGATTTTTCCGGCAAATTTTGTATAGAAATTATGTGTTACGTAGGTATATCTCAGTTTGGGCGTACCTTTGTTCACAGACAAATTGGCGTCATTATTTTAACAACAGGGTGTAGACTTAATCTCTACACTTTTATGATATCTCTAAAAACAGTTTCTGAGGCTTTCGTCAAAATCAATCAAGTAGTTAAAATTGAGTGTATAAGTTTCAAACATACATTTAGTTTTTACTGTGGTTTGAATTTATAGCTTTTTATTTAATCGAAGCCATGTATAAAAACGATGAGTTGATGCATGCTTGTGTCTGAACTGCCTGAGACCTGAGTAACTAAAGATAAATATGTGTTAAGGCACTAATTGTTAACCTGAGTATTTTCAAAACTCCCGCCGTTTATAATGGTCATACTGTTTGCTCACCACAGATGACATACCGTTGGTAACTGTTCATGACCACGGTTGTTATCTATCTGAGAATTCGTTACATACGTTTGTATTTTGTATTTCGTTTTTCTTCGTTCTTTTTCGTTCTGCTCTTGGTTGCAGTAACATCGTTGTTTGTCGTCCATCAAGTTCAAGTTATAACTTGTAACCTTATATTTTCAGTTCTGTTGCTGTAATCTGTAATGCTGTTTTAATAATTTGTTTATTTCGTTGAGATCTCAATTCTCTATTATTGTCGTCACGCTCCAATCATTTTAGCCTCTGATTTCATATAATTATTGTGGTATGTATCGTTCCTTCATTTATTTAATTGTACATTCATATATGTTTTCAACTTTAGGGTGATTCTTATGGTGTGCGTTCCACGTGTGACTTAATTCTTAACCTCGTGTACTAACTTTGGCATAAGATTACATCTCTATATCATAAGTAGGGTAAGTTGGTGCACCAAATTATTATTGTATTTGTACATTGCAAATTATATTATTATTACCCAAATTATTATTGTATTTGTACATTGCAAATTATATTATTATTACCCAAATTATTATTGTATTTGTACATTGCAAATTATATTATTATTACCCAAATTATTATTGTATTTGTACATTGCAAATTGTATTGTTATTACCCTAGGAATTATTGTATTTGTGCATTGCAAGTCATTGTATTGTTATTACCCTAGGAATTATTGTATCATTGCATTGCAAATCATTATATTATTATTATCACAAGAATTATTATATTATTATATTGTTACCATTGCAAATATTACTGTGTAACTTGTTATAAATTTTGTATCTGGTATATTGTTATTATTATTTACTACTATTATTAAATTGTAATATAAACATACAGTCCACTACCTAGTCTCTTTTTATTACTTTCATTATCCATAATTATATTTGTATGAACCAGGTATGCTTGCTATTGCTGCAAGTCCCCTGAAGTAATAACAATATGTATACTTCTTAATTAGAGTCCAGTAGTTTGTAAGTATGAAAATGTGGTAGTCTGAACTACATATACAACAATTGAAAATATAGTCATGTAATAGTCAATGGACGACTCGTTCACCATCTCAACTTCCTACATATTATTTGAGCCACACACAGTGCCTCAGCTTAAGATATCTGACTCCAAAGTGGTCCTCATATTTTATACTCCCTCATTATTGTTAGCCATATTGCTACAATATATTCTGTTACATAAACTAATTGTATTTGTTTATTAATGGTATTGTACTATTGTGTCAACTGTCAATAATTGTGCGCCCACTGGTAGACGCTCTCCGGGGAGATTCAGACATAGGTATCGGCGTTAACACTGTAAAACTGTGCTTCAACGTTCGTGATCAGACAACTTTATTTTGAGTTTACTACAACGTCCAACTAACATAATATTATCTAACGTAAATATCGACATTTTATTTACCGTCGAGTTTAACTTTAGTATATTACTATACTACTTTACACTGTTCTACAACTACAACCGTAATTAAGTTATACGTCTATTTCCGTTAAAGCAGTGATTTCAGTTTATGACAATGTTAAAAGTATAATGGTTTGGTAGGGCTTTCGACCTTTATTTCTATTTACTAACTCGATGGTTTTTGTTGAACGTCGCTAAAGCAATCATACACGATGTTGGCATGTTGCACACAAACAATAAATAATAAACAGTTATGTCACGTAATTAATACGGGAGACTTAAAATGTGACCTCCGAAAGCACGCTTAGGTGAATAGTTTAAAATTTATCATACGATATAGTATAGGTCTGACTGCTCCACCACAGGCCACAGCTAACACTGAAACTGTTGAAAGCTGTGGGTGAGCGGCCTCAATGCCTCATGCAAGGATATATTTCGGCTAGTGACTAAACACTAAAATGTATGGTTGTTCCTTAACCAAGATAATATTATCAATTATTATTAGTCATCACTCCATCATAATTATAATATTGCAGTAAGTATATGCTTATATAATTAAGTATATTATGCTTATATATTACAATACAATATGCAGTATTAACTATTAAGTATTAGGTCACTATAATTTCACTATATTGATAGGTACATTTGTAATTAATTATGATATTTCGATACATTTATAAGCTAAATATAACTTATACACTTTTAAAAAGCTATAATAATTTGTAAAAGGCAGAAAAAAACATAGTTACCTAATAGATGATAAAATATACATTAAAAATATTAGTAAATCACACATTTTTTNCTGTGTAACTTGTTATAAATTTTGTATCTGGTATATTGTTATTATTATTTACTACTATTATTAAATTGTAATATAAACATACAGTCCACTACCTAGTCTCTTTTTATTACTTTCATTATCCATAATTATATTTGTATGAACCAGGTATGCTTGCTATTGCTGCAAGTCCCCTGAAGTAATAACATTGGTTCTTATCGAACCGGATAATCATAAATAATAATAATAATATTCAGATTAATTATAATAATATCTAACTTTGTTTGTTATTATTTTTATTGTAACATAAGCATTATTGCGATCATTTGTAAAGCGCCTATACTGTAAAATCTGTAATCATTATTTATAAAATAGGTACAATTTGCGCTTAGTTGTTAAGTATGGCAACCAAGGCTACTTCGTTTATGGATTCAGCTGAATACAAGTCATTGTTACGTCGGAGGGATAACTTGAAGCTGGAATTATTTTCTCATATGCGGTTTGTGAATGACTTTACTGAGTCGACTTTGGCTTGTCAAGTAGTTGACATCAGACTGCGTCAGGTTCAGACTTCAATAAATCAATTTGAGGATGTACAAAGCAAAATTGAAAGCTTGGACGACAGGGATGATGATTCTCAAGCTAAACAGCGAATTGAATTCAATGAATTAGCATGTAATGTCCAAGCATCTTTAATGGTATTATCTTCGGATGCTAAGAAACAGTCTTCAAAGGCAGAAATAGTCAATGTTAATGACACAATGCGATTACCATCAGTACCTGCTCCTATCTTTGATGGCAATTTGCAAAATTGGCCAGCTTTTAAGGACTCATTTGATGCTATGTTCCACAATAATAAATCATTAGCTGAAGTTCAAAAATTGCATTACTTAAAATCTTGCATGTCAAATTCAGCTGGTGATGTTATTAAAAACTTCCCAACAACTGGTGATAACTATCAACGAGCTTATGATGCTTTACTTATGCGCTTTGAGAATAAGTCATTAACAATCCAATCGCACATACGGTCTTTATTAGATACTCAAAAGGTCACCATTGCGACAGCAGCTGAGCTCCAAAAATTACACCATCACATAATCTCACATGTCAAAGCATTAGAAGCGTTACATCAACCAGTCAAGGATTGGGATGCATGGCTTGTCACATTAATATGTTACAAATTAGATAATGTCACAGTAGGGGAATGGCAACTGCGCCAGAGTACGCGAGATCTACCCAAATTCACTGAGCTTGAAACATTTTTATTAAATCGTATATCAGCCTATGAAGTCGGTGATTTTAATAATATCTCCATTAGGGAACCAGGTCAAGGTCAGAACTTGAAAAAAGTTCCTTACAAAAAAGTGTTGTTTTCAAAAAAGGACAATCATAAAACCTCAACTAGCTACAAATGTGTATTATGCACAGGTTCTCATAAATTACATGCCTGTGATAAATTCCTGGACTTGTCGGTCTCTGAACGTTCAAAAGTAGTTAGCAATCATTCTTTATGTTTTAATTGCTTACATTCTGGTCACAGTGCTGCTGTCTGTCGTTATGGAAGTTGTCATAAGTGTGGTCGCAAACATCATACCAAACTACATGAATATCAGCATACCACTAAACCAGATGACATCTCGACAAGTGATTCAGAGCAGCAAGTTGAAGCACAATCGTCGCACACTTCAATGCATGTACAACAACATAACAAAGTACATCAAGTTATGCTAGCAACAGCCATCGTCAAGGTATATGGAACAGCAAGTGAACAACATGAGTTGCGGGCAGTCTTAGACTCTGGGTCACAGATTAATTTCATAACTAGACGGTGTGCTAATCTACTAAAACTAAAACCATCAATGTCAACGTCAAATATATCAGGCATAGGAACACTGTCAACCAAGTCTGCCAAACTTGAACCCACAGTTCTCTCATCACGTTTTGGATCATATCAAACCATTGTTGATCTGCATGTCTTGCCTGTCATTACTGGTCATCTACCAACGAGCACTGTTGATATTAACCAATTCAATATCCCAGACCAAGTTAAATGTAAGCTTGCAGACCCGTTACTTCATAAACCTCAACCAATAGACCTATTGTTAGGTGCGGAATTGTTTTTTGAGCTGTTCATAGGTAACCACATCAAACTTTCATCCAAGTCATTTGCATGTGAAACACAGTTGGGTTGGATAATCACTGGATGCATTCCTGTCATCGAGTCATCAGCATCAAATTCATTAGTATCTACAACACTCACCACCATTCAAAATAGCATATCTGCACTATCCTTCTATAGTCCAAAAGGGATTGCCCAACGTGCTGAAGAAACTCAAGTTGAAAGTCATTTTCAAAGCTCAATTAAGTATGATCACAATGGGCAATTCATAGTAAAGCTACCAATCAATGGTGACCCTTGTGTTCTGGGAGATTCAACATACATGGCTACAAAAAGATTATTAGCAATGGAACGACGATTGATGAGCAACACAACCCTGGCAACTGAGTATAAAAGGTTCATGACTGAATATCTAACTATTGGCCACATGGAGAAAGTTCAAGATTCAGACATCTGTCAACCCATCACTTACTATCTTCCCCACCATGCTGTGGTTAAAGAAAACAGTATAACAACAAAGACTCGTGTTGTGTTTGACGCATCAGCTGCTACATCAACTGGTGTTTCTCTTAATGATATTTTAATGCGAGGACCTACAGTACAGCCAACGTTATTTCAAATTATTCTAAGATTTCGGTTACATAACATAGCAATCACAGGTGATATTGAAAAAATGTACCGCCAAATCAAGGTTGATAGATCGGACTGCGATTTACAACGAATTGTATACAGATCAAATCCAAGTCACCCAGTGCAACATTATAGACTACTAACTGTCACATATGGGACCAAATCAGCGCCCTATCTTGCTACGAGATGTTTATCTGAATTAAGCAAACGTTGTACTGATCAAAGAGTCTCTAGAATAATTAAAGAAGACTTTTATGTAGATGACTTGCTAAGCGGTGGAACAACAGTCGAAGAATGTTTTCAATATTATCAAGAACTGACTAATGTACTAAATCAAGTCAATTTTCCTATCAGAAAATGGTGTTCAAATTCAGCAGAGCTGATCGCTAAGATACCGTCTGCCAAAGAACAACATTATTCATTGTCGTTGGCTGAAGATGAGTCTATTACCACTCTAGGACTAACATGGTTACCAAATAAAGATGTTGTTAAATTTGTACTCAAGCCTTGGAGCCCACAAACAAAGATGACGAAGAGATCGTTGTTATCAGATCTACACAAAATTTATGATCCCCTTGGATTCATCACACCGGTACTAATAAAAGGGAAGATTTTCCTCCAACAGTTATGGACACTCAAAGTTGGTTGGGATACAGTTTTACCTCCTGAAACACAACTCAAGTGGACAAAATTTTGCAATAGTCTGCAATCAATTGAAAACCTATCCATTCAACGGTTAGTCTTATGTAATGCCAGCAAACGAATCGTTACACTCCATGGTTTCTGTGATGCATCACAAAATGCAATTGGTGCTTGCATCTATGTTCGGTCAACCACAATTGACTCTGAGGATTCATGGACAACCGCTCTATATACGTCAAGGTCTCGAGTAGCACCTATTCGCACCACAACAATACCCAGGTTAGAGCTTAACGGTGCAACACTATTAGTTGAGTTGATGGCAGAAGTTCGAAAAGAGTTTGAGGCCCTCAATATATTTATATCAGATGACAATGTGACATTGTGGACAGATTCCTCAATTGTATTGTCATGGATCAACACAGACATACCGTTGAAAACATATGTTGCCAACCGAGTAACTCAAATTCATGAATCTTCAAACATAGCCCAATGGAGATATGTTCCGTCACAAGACAATCCTGCAGACCTCATATCTCGAGGAGTCTCAGCTCAGGTATTGGAATCATCAAGTCTCTGGTGGAAAGGACCACAGGGGTTAGGACAAAACAATAACTGGTGGCCTGCAGTTGTCAATCATATAGCTGACATTCCAGAAGTTCGTGTCATCAAGCCTGTCTTAACAGTTACTAAATCGCCCAGTGATGAATCCTCAAATGAATTTAACTTATTAAATCAATATTCAAGTTGGACAAAACTTATTCGTGTAACAGCTTATATTCGAAGATTTTTTAATAATCTTAGATCTGGGAAATCTGTAAGAGTCACAGAGTATCTCCACGCCTTTGAACTTAAGGCTGCTAAGGAAGTTTGGATAAGAGTTTCTCAACAAGATGCATTTAAAATTGAATTAGCATGTCTTGAGCGTGGCACTCAACTACCTCGACGTAGTAAACTCATTAGTCTAAGCCCCTTTCTTGAGAATGGTATCATCAGAGTTGGAGGAAGGTTACAGTTATCTGAGTTACCTGCCAATCAAAGACATCCTGCAGTTTTGCCAAAGGCACATCATGTAACTCAACTCATGTTCGAACACTATCACAAACAATATTTACATGCTGGTCCCCAAAATTTGCTCAATAGGGTTCGCCAAGAATATTGGCCTCTTGATGCGAGAAACACAGCTCAACGTATTGTACATAACTGCAGCACATGTTACCGAGCCAACCCTCATACATTCCAACCTACGATGGGAAATCTACCTCGACTTCGAGTGACTCCAAGTCGTCCATTTACTACAACTGGTATTGACTTCGCTGGACCCATCAGCTTGCATTCAGGTCCTCGCAATCGAACAGTCTCTAAGGCATATATAGCTGTTTTTATATGCTTCAGCACTCGCGCTATTCATTTGGAGGCTGTTAGTAGCTTGACATCCCAAGCATTTTTAGCAGCTCTACGGCGTTTCTTTTCACGAAGAGGCCAAAGTTCCCACATATATTCAGATAATGGCACAAACTTCTGTGGCGCTAACGCTGAACTGAAACGTCTTTATAAACATCCATGCGATAACAATAAGACTGTTGTGGAGACATTAGCACAAGATGAAATTCAGTGGCACTTCAATCCTCCAAGTGCACCTCATATGGGTGGTCTCTGGGAGGCAGCTGTAAAATCTACCAAGCACCATCTCGTAAGAACTTTAAAATCAGCTAAGCTCAATTTTGAAGAATTGGCCACATTATTATGTCAGATTGAGGCATGCTTAAATAGCCGACCATTAACTCCTCAATCAAGTGATCCTGAAAGTTTTGCAGTGCTAACACCTGCACACTTTTTAGTGGGAGGTTGTTTAACATTACCTCCAGATGTACAACTTCCTGAGAAGCCTATTAATCATTTAAAGCGATGGCATATTGTTCAGGGAATGATGCAAGGGTTTTGGCGCAGATGGTCCAATGAATACCTTCGCACACTACAGGTCCGATCTAAGTGGAATGTTGACAATAAAGATGTAGTCATCAGACTCGGAGATTTAGTTCTAGTTGTTGAAGATAATCAAACTCCATTAAGTTGGCGCATTGGTCGAATAACACAACTTCATCCTGGCTCCGATGGCATTGTTCGTGTTGTAACAGTTAGCATGCCTGGTAATAAATCATTCCGACGGCCCCTAGTGAAACTATGTCCATTGCCCTATGTCAGTGCTGAAGAAGCTACATAATCTAGTCAAGTACATCTCAACATAATCTAGTCAAGTACATCTCAACATAATCTAGTCAAGTACATCTCAACATAATCTAGTCAAATCCAAGTGACTTCAATCAAGCCTTATTCAAATTGTTTCTCAAGTTTCATTTCATTATTCTATATATTTGTAAGTTGTTTGTTAAAATACTCTTAGTATTTCAACGTGGGGGAGGATGTTAAGGCACTAATTGTTAACCTGAATATTTTCAAAACTCCCGCCGTTTATAATGGTCATACTGTTTGCTCACCACAGATGACATACCGTTGGTAACTGTTCATGACCACGGTTGTTATCTATCTGAGAATTCGTTACATACGTTTGTATTTTGTATTTCGTTTTTCTTCGTTCTTTTTCGTTCTGCTCTTGGTTGCAGTAACATCGTTGTTTGTCGTCCATCAAGTTCAAGTT